GGGTAGAAGGAACATACTACAAAGTAGCACCCAACTGGGGCTGTATAGCTCACTGCAGTCATCAAGTAGGTATTCTTTCTTTCTTTTTTTTTTTTTTTTGGAGAGGTTTTCGCTATAGGGAGGTTTTCGCTATAGGGTGCGTGCGCTCGCCAGACAGACAGAGAGAGGCATAGAGACAGAAAGCGAGAAATCACCCCCCGGGGGGGGGATGGTCACGCTGCAATCCCTTCTCCTCCATTCTCCTCTTGGGATCTTGGCCACACATGCACACGCGCCCAGCGTGAGTTTTAAGCCATCGGGTCTGGGTCGCGAACCGCAGTCGACTATGTGGGAGTCCAGCGACATAGCCATTACGCTAACTGCTGGTTCCCAAGTAGGTATTCTTAATGCATTTTTTTTTTATTTCAAGAAAAACAGTTTTAGTGTTTTTTTTTCCTGAAACATTTTTTTAATTAATTAATTTACATTCATTCCCTAAGCCTAAGCATCGTCACAGCATATAAAATGTGATTTCCCATCCAGAATATGCTGTATGGTGGCTCAATCATGCATGTTATCATCAATAATTTTCCATTTCTAGTTTCACATATATATATATTTGACCTATTTCTGATCCTCTGCCCTTTCCCACCCTCTTCTCACACTATCTCTGGTGTCTACAGTTGTCTTCCATTCCTTTTCCCCCCACATTTTATTGATCACACAATTTCTTAAATAATCTAACTACTTTCAATAACAAGTTCAGCTGGCAATGTCAAGAAAAGCAGTTTTAACTTAAATCAAAGAAATTCTAAGGAACTTTGCTTAAAACTTATAGCCAGGAAATAGGTTAGGATTCTGTTCAAATAGTAGGCACATGAACCGGTTGACAGCTCAAGCAAGACAGGACAAAAATCCTTAAAACCAGACAACAAAGCCTAGAAGAAAATAAGCAATGTTTTAGTCAAAAGTCATAAAATGCTATTTCACCAGTTCAATCCCATGTACTTTATCTTCTGTTGCGGTTCGATCTTTCCGATTAAATTCTGGGATATAGTATTCAACTCCAGACTTAAACATATGATTAAGTTGGCCATTTTCTTAGTTTTTGAATTCTTATTTCTGTGTGTCTGTATTTAATGTGCCTGTATTTAATTTGCCTGTATTTAATTTGCCTGATATAGCACTCCCTTGAAAACTTCTTGGAGATGTGGTCTGGTGCTGGTAAATTTTTTTAGGTTTTGTTTATCTGAAAACGTTCTTGTCTTTTCTTCCCATATAAAGGATAATCTTGCCAGGTACAGTATTCTTGGTTGAAATAGCTTTTTCCTATTTCAACCCTAACACTTTGAATATATTTTCCCATTCTTTCCTCACTTGCATTGTTTCTAATGAGAGGTCCTCTGTTAGCCGGATGGGATATCCTTTGTAGGTAACTTGCTGTTTTTTGGTCAATCTGGCTATAACATGACTTGGAGAAGATCTTCTTGTGTTAATTCTATTTAGGGTCCTTTGTATTTCTTGGGACTGGATCTTTTGGTGCCTCTCTAGGTTTGGAAAGTTTTCTCGCAGGATTTTATGGGATAGATGATCAAAGCCCTTATGAGACTCTTTGCCTTCTGGGATACCAATTATCTGGATGTTTGGATGATTAATGGTATCTAGTCTTTCTCGTATATTATCCTCATTTTGGGGGGCAATTTTCACAGTCTTCATGGTGGATGTTTATAGGCCAGCAATTTTCTCTTCTACATCTGAGATTCTATTTTGTGTATGATCTAGTCTGCTTTTAATACTTTCAAGGGAAATTTTGACTTCCTGTATTATAGCCTTCATCTCTAATAGGTCTCTTTGATTCTTTTTTAAAGTGTGTAATTCCTCTTTTAGATCTTGCAAGAATTTCCTCACCTCCTGGAATTCGTCAGCTCCTTTTTCCCTTCTCTTCTGTAGTTCATTGTCTCTCTTCTTTTCCATCTCTGTTAGATTCGCCATTAGGAATATTCTAAATTCTTTATCAGGCATTTCTGTGATTCCCACTGAACTATCTGTGGATGAAGAGGAGTTATTCTTTTCCCTTGAAGAAGAGGTATTTTCTTGCTTTCTCATATTTCTTGTGACTTGTGGTGATTTCTAGTCATCTAATGGTTGGTGTGTTTCTTCCTAAACTTGAAGTTCAATCTGAGCATTCAGGAGCATGCAGAAAGATGTGATCTGGAATCTCTTTGCCATTCCATTTTGATCACTTTGCACAGCAGATTCAGTAGATATTGAGGAATATGTTAACCCCAATAGTATTTGGATGTTTGGCTTAGATTTGTCACTCGAAGTTTGTGGGTTGGAGGCTGAATTATCAGTAGAAAAATCTTCATTTCTCTTTTTTCCCTGAAATCACTAGTTCTCATGAGCCATGGAGGAATCTTCTAAACAGAATTTACTTTGTAATAGTTAAATACACTTACTGAGTGTTAATGTTTAGAATGCCCCCCCCCAGGACACATGACAAAACGAATCTGGAAGACCACCGTGAGACAACTATTATGGGCTGAATAACAACATCCCATTCATATGTTAAAGATCCAACCTCTAGAAATTCAGAATGTGGCTATGTTTGAAGATCAGGTATTCAAAGTGGTAAATAGGTTAAGAAGAGGTCATTAGGGTGGGTCCTAATCCAACATGACATAGATTCACATGAGGGAAGACCATGTGATGACACAGGTGGCCATCCACAAGCCAAGGAGAGAAGAGTTAGGAGAAACCAATCCCGTCCACACCTTGATCTTGGACTTCCAGCCTCCAGAACTATGAGAAAATAAATTTCTGTGGTCTAAGCCCCCAGGTCTGTGGTACTTATTTGACAGCCTAAGCAGAATAATATAACAATCCTCATACTGATCCCTTCCAGAAGGATTATCTAAATCTCTCCTATTAGAATCAGATCCATTTCTCCTTATGTAGCCCTGTGGGTTCTCCAGCTCCCAGCCCCATGGTGAAGTCCACTGTAAGCTGCAGGAAATGCATCCTTCACCTGTTCCCAACTGCTTCTGTCTAACTTTCTGCTTACTCTGGCACCTTCACCTCACCTTTTCCTCTCTTACCAGGACTGAGCCAGCCCTGGGTCACTGGCTTGCCCAATATCACTAAGTATGTTGGTAAATAAGTCAAACAGTGTCAAAATCCACCTTTAAGTATTCAGTCTATTGTAGAACCTTGGTAAACATGTGCTGATATCTGCCAAAGACTTTAAGACATTTTAACTAAACCTCTCTCTTCAATAAGTATCTATTAGAAGCCTGAAAAAAAAATCGAGATTTAATTGAAATTGCTAGTTGCCATCATGTATGTCTTTCTTTCACCTGAGCATCTTGACTGGGGCTAATTTAGCACACAACTGTAACCCAAATTTTATAATTACTTGGTTATTGTACGATCCAAAACATTCAAGTGGTACAAAATGTCTTCTCTACATCAAGGCTGCAGGTTTTAAAAATAAACTATTTCAAAGGAGTTTTAAGTCTCGCCATCCTACGTAAACCTATTTCTCTCAGTGTAATTCGTCACATGCATCTGGGCAGTATTTCTTTAGTAGTTGACACACGCTATATTAAAATCTTCATCAAAAATAAAACAGGAAGTATTTTGGTTCAAATTGTGATTGTTGTGCAAAATGCACAAGCTCAGAAAATAGAAACTTCTTCCTGGGATATGATATTGATCTCATGTGGGATAGTGGACGTTGTTACCAAGAGCATTCACTAACTGGACTTGTGTGTAGCCTTAAGCAACTTGTATAAGTTCTTTGGCCTCAGTTGCCTCATCAGTAAAATGAGATTAAAAACAGTTTCCAGCCTAGTTGGTGTGGAGATGAAATGAGATAAGATCTGTAAACACTGTGTTTGGAACATAGGCAAAGCTCAGGAATAGTAAAGAAATGTAAAGTTGTACGACTTATAGGCATAAGCATGTCACCTACTTCATTAACGGCTTGTGACAAAGGATTTGTGAAATAATGAAAGGAGACAATAGCAGCTGATTTTTCACTGATTTGGGAATAGTGGTTTCTTTTTCCATCACAGAACTATGGGTTGGTCAGAGGAAAGAATGGGGAAGATTTCAGCAAATAATAATCCAAATGTCTGAATAAAATTTGTAAAAACAATTGATTTGCTTCCCAAGGACTGGAAGTCGTGTGGGCACTTGGGCAATAATGGAGCAGCAGTAATTTTCTGCTCTATTTCTACAACAACAAACAAAAACATGATGGTGGAAAACAATGCCAAGTGGAAATCTTCATTTCCTTCCTTGGGGATAGAAAAACACATCCGTCTATTAAGTCTTTAAAAGCTGTAACCACAGATTGCAGCAACAATATGCACAGAGAAAAAGCTTGTTTGGGTTGAGCCAACCGTATGTGGCAACCAACTGAAAAGATGGCTCCCGTATGGGAGAACAGAGGGCCAGCCACTGGGAAGAGCATGAGGAACAAAGCGCTCTCTCGTTTGCGTTGGAAATGCTGACACAAAGTGCATTCTCCTCAGCAAACTGGTGAGCTTCCTAAGAAGGGAAGATGAATAAGAGTGGGGAATAGGAACTCTCTCTAGCAAACCATGTGCGCTGTCAGCCTGCGGAGAGTGCTGAGTAAGGAGCAGTCACTGATCCTGGATTAGGAGCACTTGAATGACTGTCCCCTGCTTCCCCAATGCTTCCCACTTCAATTTAACTCACATGCAGGCAGATCTCATTTGTCCAGTATCTCTAGGCAAGAGCTAGTCCACACAAATTCATTTTACCAAAAACTGAGACTTATCCATTTGAATTTCAAACATTCACTTCTTTACAGTTAAACTTTTTTTGTAGAAACATTTTTTAAATTAATGTCAGAATTCTCTGCCTTCTTGGTATCTATGAAACTTAAGCGGAACGACACATGAGTGAGTCCCAAGTTCAGAGCTGGCACACGGGGCACTCAGCAGCGCTCTGTGCTTACTGCATTATTAACTGGCTACTTTGTCTAATTCCAGGTCATTGATGTGACTGTTACTGATGAAGTGACACCTCTGCAAAGGCAGACAAGGTGAGAGGTAAGGTCAAAGAGGTACAAAGGGCTATTCTTCAGATTCGGGTCTGTGATTTTTATCCACCTCTCCCCTGTGTCAACTTTACCATGAGACTACTAGTGGTCATTTCTTGGTCCTTTCTTCTATCCTACTCTTGCTCATCAAGGCTCTTGGCTTTAAATATCATCCACATGCCCATGCCTTCTCTGAACAAAGACTTGTTTATACAACTACCTACTAGAAAGCTCCACCGGAAGGCCCAGCCACAGTGGTGCAACAACAGTGTAACACTTTATGATTCTGGAAGCCATATGGAAGATCAGGGTCAGATCCTGGTTGACCTGTACATGCTAGGCACACATACATGTACCTGTGATCCTGGCAGGTGGGGAAAGGTTAGGGAAAACTGTAGTGTGAGATCTGTTCAAGGGTGCTTCTCTCTGTTTAAATAAGCAAATAAACTTTTTTTTTTTAAAGCTCCACAAGGCTATTGAAAAAGTAACTCAAACTGAACACTCTCATTCTTAGTGCCTACCCTAATCACCTACACCTTTTCCTCCCATCTTACCCCTTCTCAGCAAGAGCAACTTCATCCTTAGTTGCTCAAAACAAAAACCCTGGCGTCATCCTTGACAAATTTCTTTCCTCGCTCTCCACCTCTCAGTCATCAGTACATCCTGTAAGCTCGACCTTCAAAATATATACAGAAGCTGATCACTCTTCTATGGCTGCCACATTGACCCAAGCCACCACCTCCCTTCTTTCATGGGCATGGATCAAGGTGGTAGCCATGGAGAAAGTGAGAAGTGATCCTACCTGGTCTGAAGAGGCAAAGCTTCCTACCTGACCTCTTAGGTTCTATCCTTGTCTCCTTGTTCTCAATACATAAATCATGTCAGTTCTCAACTCCTTTCAGCAGCCTGTAAGGCCCACCTTGTCTGATTCTCCATGACCTCTCCAATCTTGTCTCCTTGTACTCTTCTTCTTCATTAACTCAACTTCATTAACCGTCCTAGCCTGTTGCTGTTTTTCACACAAGCCAAATGTATTCCTACCTCAGGGCCTTTGCACTTGCTGTTACCTCTGCCTACAATGCTATTCAGCTGGATATGGATATGGTACCTTCCTCAGCCTCAAGTCCTACCTCAAATAACACACTCTGTTAGCCACTTGATTTAAACATCCCCACACTCACCTATCCAATGCCCTCAATCTTTCTCTCCTTACTCCTTTATAACACTTATCACTACCTAATAGAAGGTAAGTTTGCTTCTATATCTTGTGTATTGTCTGTCATTACCAACTAAAATGTAGCCTCCATGAAAACAAGAATTTATTTTCCTAATTGGTTCCCTGTTATAGTCCCAGTCCTTCAAATAGTATCCAGCACATAGTTGGTCATCAATAAATATTTGTTGAATAAATAACTTTTAAAATTGTAGTCATTAAGCCTGCTTATGGAAATATAGGATTATAATTATGAGGATGAATTTTAAAGCCAGATGAATAAAGGTTCAAAAACATGCTCTAACCCATTTTAGCTGTGTAACCTTGGGCAAGGTACTGTACTGAACTTGTCTAAATGTAGTTTCATCATCTTTAAAATAGGTATGATGCTGTACAGTGGAGTATATAAGGCACTGAGCACAGAATCTGGCAAATGGTAACTATTCAACACATAGGAGTTCTTATTAGCAACTGTTACCACCTCAGTGCACTTCACCATCATTTGTCACTTGGCTGTCAACCACAAAACCAACTTATCTCTGACCCCAGTCTTCCCTAAATCCAACGTCTTCCACACACTAGGAACAGAATGGTATTGCAAAACATACATCTGATTTATAATAGATAATGCAGATGAATCAATGACATAACTGGTAAGACCCAAAATTCTCTCCTCCAAAAAAGCAACGAGAAAATTGTCAAAAAATGTTGGGGGAGGGGGGCCTATCAGTCATGTGGTGTTTGAGGAGGCGGGATCCCACATGCCTGACTGAATCATTCACATCCTGGACCCAGCAGCTTGAAAAATCAAGCACATGAATGTGCCCCAAATTCTGAGAGGAATGGAGGCGGAGACGTGGCTGTCCCCCTCCCCCTTCCTCCTTGCCCCCCTGCTCTGGAGCATGCTTTTGCTTGCTCTCTCCCTCTTCAGTGAGTATATGCACCCTATAGCAAATTTTAAAAGAATTGTCAAAGTCAACTTTTCTAGAACTCTGTAAATTAACCAAAGACTTTGGTAATCTGGGAAGCTTTTATTTAATAAAGGTGACTGGCTCTTGGTAATGAATAGTAAGCTTTGTGGTATTTTAACATGCCCCGTGCTTGTGTCCCTATCTCCAGTTCTGTGGCTGCCTGGAAAATTAATAGACAGCAGCTTGGCAGTTATCAGAGAGGGAGAAAGTGGGTATGGAGAGCTTGTAAAGCTTCCTTCCCAGGGAACTGTCATTATTTGACCTCTCTGGAGTTTCCTGGAAGACCCCATTTGCAAGGCCATTTTGTTTGACCTGCTTTATATGCATCCAGCAGGGGGCGGCTTTTTTTTTTTTTTTTTTTTTTTGTAGTGGTATTTGTCAAAAAAAGAAAAAAAAATACGGGTAATAGTGGCTGCCAAAGGTAGAAGACAACGGTTGGGGCAAACAGTTAACCAAAAATCTTAAAAGGAAAATCTGAGGAATGAAATTGCCATAGAATCTTTGAAAAATTTTGAAATATTTTTGGACATCTATAATCCCATGTTTTTGTTGTTGTTGTTGTTGTTGTTGTTTTTGATATAGGGCACGTGCGCTCTCCAGAAAGACAGAGAGAGACAGAGAGATAGGAAGCGAGAAATCACCCCCCTGGGAGGATGGCCATGCCGCAATCCCTTTTCCTCCGTTTTCCTCTCAGGATCCTGGGCAAGTATGCATGCACACGCGCCCAGGGTGAGTTTAAGCCACCAGGTCCGGGACTCAAACTGCGGTTGACTACATAGGAGCTCAGCGACATAGCCATTACGCTAACTGCTGATCCCTAGAATCCCATGTGTATGGGTAGGGCCATTCATGTGCCCAGGAAACATGCACACCTGCCCAGAAACACCTGAGAAGGCCCAAGGCTCTCATCTCAGGCTGACCATGAGGCTCTGAAAAAATAAGTTAAAGTAAAAGCATAGTTCTCAATTGACTGAGTATAGAGGGAGTGCTCTGAGGTATCCTGACAAAGTTCCTCGGCAAAGACTAGGAGGTTTATTGGTTATAGAGTGTTAAAGAAAATTTAAGTTCACGAATCCAATAGATGGCACAATGGTTAAGTTGCTGGACTCCCATGTAGTCGACCATGGTTCGAGTTCCAGACCTGGCAACGTAAACTCACATCAGGTGTGTACGTATGCATGCCCAAAATCCAGAGAAGAGAATGGAGGAGAAGGGATTATGGCATGGGCATCCCACCTGGTGGTTGATTTCTCACTTTCTGTCTCTCTGTCTTTCTCTTTCTCTGTCTCTCTGGGCAAGCACACACACCCTAGGGCAAAAATAATTCTCTCTCTCAAAAAAAAGAAAAAAGAAAATTTTATTCATTAACTGACCACTGAGCAAATGATCTCATGATTCAGTGATAAACATGATGAATATAGACTTTACAGAAAATCACTAACAATAGTAATAATAACAATAAAACAGGCAGCAATAACAACAAAACCTGGGGGCAAGGTAGAATCCGATTCCCAGAGTTACTACTACAACTATAAACATATAGTATCCTATACTCTCCCCCCCATATATATATGTATATCTATTATATATACTTCATAATATGTATATACTTTTAATTTGTCATAGGGTGCCTGCACTCACCAGAGAGGGAGAGAGAGGGAAAGTAAAAAAGCACACCCTGGGGAATAACCACACTGCAATCCTTTCTCTTCACTCTCTTATGGGGATTTTAGCCACACATGCACACATGCCCAAAGTGTTTTTCAAGCTACCAGGTGCTAGAATTGAACTGCACAGTCAACCACATGGGATCCAGCCACCTTAACCACTGTGTCACCTGGCTGGCCCACCACATTATACTATTTAAAATATCCAGTTTTCAACAAAGAAATTATGGAACAAATTTATGGAAAAATTATGGAAAAAAAAAGTATGTACTTACCGGGGAGGGAAAAAAAAGCAATAAATAGAGAGTTTCCTGAGGACAACCAGACATTGACTTACTAGACAAAGTCTTTAAATCAGTTATTTTAAATGTGTTAAAGAACTAAAAAATAATCATGTTCTATGAATCAAAGGGAAATATAAAAATGACATTCCACTAAATAAAGAATATCAATAGAAGACATCAATTATTTTAAAATAATCAAATAGAAATTATGAAATTGGAAAATATAATAACTGAAAAGAAAATTTTACAAAAGAAGCTCAATAGCAAGTCTGAGCAAGTGGAAAAATAATCAGTGAACTAAAAGATAGGTCAATTAAAATGATCCAATATGAGGAACAGAAAGAAAACAAAAGAAAAAAATGAACATAGTCTCAGAGACCTGTGGGGCAACTCAGAGACCTGTGTGGCACCACAAATATACCAGTATACACTGGGCATCTCAAAATGAGGGGAGAGAGAGAGATAGAGAAGAATGTGAAGTGAAGAAATAATTGCCAAACTTCTTAAATGTGATGAAAAAAACATTAATATACACATTCAAGAAAGTCAACGAACTCCTGGTAGAAAAATCTAAATCCATACTTAGACACATCATAATCAAACTGTCAAAAAACAAAGAGAGACTCTTGAAAACATTAAAAGTGAAGTGACTCATCATGTACCAGGGATTCCCAATAATATTAACAGCTGAGTTTTCACCAGAACCTGTGGAGGCCAAAAAGCAGTAGAATGACATACTCAAAATGCTGAAAGAAAATGACCGTCCATCAATAATCCTTCAAAATCCATCTAATCCGGCAAAACTATCTTTCACAAAGTGAAGGAGAAATTAAGACATTCTCAGATTAAAACAAAAAACTAAAACCAAAAAACCC